CAAAAGATTGTCATTTTCCAAAAAAACTGTGGTAAAAAAAATATCTTCCATTGACTCAACATGCCTTTCAGCAAATAGTTTTGTATGTCTACTTTCCAAAAAGGGGTCATTTGGGGGAGGGGGGTTGTGCTATCCTATTCTGGCATTTCAGGGCCTCCAAAACTGTTATAGGTAGTAAGGCAGTGAAATTAGGAAATTAGGCACCTTTAGGCTTTCAAAGGGGTCAGTGGATTTTGGGCTCCTGTATGCAGCTAGGCTCCCAAAAAAGTCTTGCACATGTAGTATCCCCATACTTGAGAGAAGTAGCAGAATATATTTTGGGATGTAATTCCACAAATATCCATGGCATGTGTGAGCAATATATCATTTAAGTGACAAAAAGAAAATGTAATTTTCCAAAAACTTGTGTTATAAAATAACATTTTTCATTCACTCAACATGCCTCTCAGAAAATAGTTTGGGATGTCTACTTTCCAAAAAGGGGTCATTTAGGGGGGGGGGGGGTTATGCTATCCTGGCGTTTCAGAGTCTTTGAAACTGTGATAGGTAGTAAGGAAGTGAAATGAGGAAATTACACACCTTCAGGCTTTCAAAGAGGTTATTGAATTTGGGACTCCTGTATGTGGCTAGTCTCCCAAAAAGTCTCACACATGTGGTATCCCCATACTTGAGAGGAGTAGCAGAATATATTTTGGGGTGTAACTCCTCATATACCCATGGCATGTTTGAGCAATATATCATTTAAGTGACAACTTTGTGTATATAAAAAAAATTGTCATTTTCCAAAAAACTATGGTAAAAAAAATATCTTCCATTGACTCAACATGCCTCCCAGCAAATAGTTTTGTGTGTCTACTTTCCAAAAAGGGGTCATTTGGGGGGGGGGGGGTTGTGCTATCCTGGAATTTCAGAGCCTCTGAAACTGTGATAGGTAGTGAGAAAGTGAAATGAGGAATTTACGTGCCATCAGGCTTTCAAAGGGATCATTGGATTTTGGCCTCCTATATGCAACTAGGCTGCCAAAAAGTCTCACACATGTGATATCCCTATACTTGTGAGATGTAGCAGAATATGTTTTGAAGTGTAATTCCAAATATACCCATAGCATGAGTGAGCAATATACCATTTAAATAGCAACTTTGTGTAAAAAAAATGTTTTTTTTTTGTCATTTTCCAAAAAACTTGTGGAAAAAAAAATCCTCCATGGACTCAACATGCCTCTCAGCAAATATCTTAGGGTGTCTACTTTCTGAAAAGGGTAATGTGGGGGGTGTTTGTACTGCCCTGGCATTTTAGTGCCTCAAGAAATGTGATAGGCAGTCAGAAAGTAAAAGGTGCGTAAAACGAGCTACACTCTAGTTTGTAGACTCTATAACGTTCACACAAACCAATTAATATACACTTAATGGGATTTTTACCAAGAATACAAAGAAATGTAGCAGAATACATTTTGGCCTAAATTTTTACAAAATTTGAGTTTATTGGATGTCTTTTATGGCAGAAAGTAGAAAATGTCAGCGGGTTTTTTTTTTTTTTTTGGTATTTTTTCTTTTATATCACAAAAAATTTAAATTCCTATTGGTGATCAAATACATACAAAGGAAAGCTCTATTTGTGTGAAAAAAGGACATAAATTTTGTTTGAGTACATCGTTGCATGACCGCCCAATTATCAAATAGCGCAGCGCTGAAAAGCAAAAAATGGCCTGGTCAGGAAGGGGGGTAAATCTTCCGGGGGGCAAGTGATTAAGGTAAGAATTTTTTTAGACTTTAGAACCACTTTAATTTTGCACACTCAAAGCCAGATTCATTACTAGACATGATGGGCTCATGTCTATTGGCACCACTGTCTCAGGAATGTCTTAAGTGGCTGGGACTATTGTTATTTTGACTATTTTCTTGTTAGTTCTGATCTGTTGCAGGGGGGCTGCAGCAGCAATCCCAACAATTTCCGTCATGACTGTTTTAATTTAGAGGTTTGTCTACATGGACTCAGAAGCATGTCAGAGCATAGTTTAAGAAGTTTCCAAGGAAATATGCCTTTCATTTGAGATTAAGTTAGAATGCATATGAGATGCTTTGGAAATGCTTCTACTTTGTATTCACATTAAAATTCAACACACAGTAAGAGAAGCTGCATTTACCAAAATGCAAAGTAGAAATGCTAGTAAACATTTCCCCATAAAATTCAATTTATAATGTAAACATTGCTTTAAGTCCAGTTTTATTATATCTTTCAAATAGCTCTGATTGCAATACTCACCTTCTCTTCCCCCGTAGACTCACCAGCTGTATAATCTAGCGCTGGTATTTTTCTAGGTCAAATGACACCAAGGGGAAGATTTACTGAAATTGGAGCGTGCAAAATTTGGTGCAGCTCTGCATAGAAACCAATCAGCTTCCAGGTTTTATTGACATAGCTTAATTGAACAACCTGAAGTTAGAAGCTGATTGGCTACCATGCACAGCTACACCAGATTCTGAGTTGTCCAGTTTTAGTAAATCTACTCCCAAGCATCATTCAAACTGCTTCCTGGAGTGCAGGGCATCATAGACTCACCTCCTGTGGGACCATCAGCACAACACCTCGCTCTCACAATACAATCATACAGAGAAGTGTGTTAACATTATCATATCAGCAATACTCTCTGGATTGTTGAGGACCACTCAGAGCCAAAGAAGAGTCCTGGAAAAACTGAAATATGGTAAAGCACTCAAAGATACTCAACAATGCTATTAGACCTGCAAAAGGTAGGCCCAATAGCTCCCATCCAAGTGCTAACATTAAATGCAACCAGTGCTCTGACTCCAGGTTGTGGTCCTGGCAAGAGCCTGTTTTGTGCTATATTGTCACTGTCTCTTGTATGGTGTGGAGCTTCCTTCTCCAAAACTTGCAAAACATGAAGGTGTAGCACACATTTGCTAAAAACTGGAGTCCTCAGGAAACTGGTGTAGCCAGTCTATTGGGATGGCGCTGTAGGTTGATGGAGTGCTGGCTCACCTGGATGGGGGCTATTTGGCTTTCCTTTTGGAGGTCTAATAGAGTTGGCCAGTGGCTTTATACTGTCTTTTTTATAGTGGACACACAACCATAACGGATAAGGAATCCTGACTGATATAAACATCCCTGAGTAACATATGGACCTATAAGTTTTGGGGGGACACATTCCTGGCTATTTGATCTTCTTTCATTCTTGATTTGGACTGCAGATATTTTGAGATATTCTGAGAGAGACATTTGTCTAATATATTTTTACAGAACAGTGAAATCTTTTTTTTTTTGTGTGGGATGTTTGGTAAAACACCAGTGCATGCAGGTATACAACAACACCGCTACATACTCTTGGTGATCATTTCTTTTTTGAACTAACAGTTACATTTTGTTAATGCAAATTAAAAGTACTCAACTGTGCACTAATACGACTACAATAACCCTAAAGTGGTATTAAACCCCAAAACGAAAATGCATTTTATTGTGCCTACTGATTTTTAGATGTGGTGGCTGCATTTGTTTTCTTTTTCATGTATTGAACATGTGCACAGGGTTGACCACTAAAGCAATTACTTATTCTGAAACAGCAATAAAAGCAATGTAAATAGTTTAATGTGCAAAGTTTAGGAACAGGTGAACTTTAAAGCCACAAATAGGAATTTAATACAGTATATTGCAGTTTACCTATTCTTAGACATGGTGGCTACATTAATTTTCTTTTTAAGAATTTTTTATTTTCACCCATTGATTTGGCCAGTAAGTACATTATTTTACAACTTACTTTTAGGCTAGGTTCACACCTATGCAGGTTGTGTTTGATCCATTTTAGAAGTGCATTTTGCGTTTTTGTTGCATTTTTTATGTGTTTTGCATTTTTTTTTTCCATGTTTCTTGTTCCTAGGCAGATTTAAAATGCAAGACGCATCAAAAACATGGCAAAATGCATAACAAATGCAGCAAAAATGCACTACATGCTTTGCTGCAGTGTTTCCATTGAAGTCTATAGAACCAAAAAACACAACTTTTTGCATTCAAAAAAGTCCCTGATCCTTTCCAAAAAATGCACCGGGTGAAAACGCGGAGATGTGAACATGTCCCATAGGAAATCATGTTAAATGGACTGTGCTGCATTTCTGCAAAATATTACGGAAAATGCTTTGGTGTAAATCTAGGGTCACAGACCAAGCTGTCCAGGAAAATTGGGAAATTATAAAGTTGAGACAAACCATTTAAAACTGAGAAGGAAAGCTTAAAATTGTCAGTTTTTATTCATTTACAGTGGGGATCGAAAGTTTGGGCACCCCAGCTAAAAATATGTATTAATGTGCATAAAGAAGCCAAGGAAAGATGGAAAAATCTCCAAAAGGCATCAAATTACAGATTAGACATTCTTATAATATGTCAACAAAAGTTAGATTTTATTTCCATCATTTACACTTTCAAAATAACAGAAAACAAAAAAATGGTGTCTGCAAAAGTTTGGGCACCCTGCAGAGTTAATATCTTGTACTGCCCCCTTTGGCAAGTATCACAGCTTGTAAACGCTTTTTGTAGCCAGCCAAGAGTCTTTCAATTCTTGTTTGAGGTATCTTTGCCCATTCTTCCTTACAAAAGTCTTCCAGTTCTTTGAGATTTCTGGGCTGTCTGTCACGCACTGCTCTTTTAAGGTCTATCCATAGATTTTCAATTATGTTGAGGTCAGGAGATTGTGGAGGCCATGGCAAAACCTTCAGTTTACGCCTCTTGATGTAATCCCCCGTGGATTTCGAGGTGTGTTTAGGATCATTATCCATTTGTAGAAGCCATCATCTCTTTAACTTCAGCTTTTTCACAGATGGCATCAAGTTACCATCCAAAATTTGCTGAAATTTTATTGAATCCATTTTTCCTTCTACTCGTGAGATGTTCCCTGTGCCACTGGCTGCAACACAACCCCAAAGCATGTCAGATATGTGATAAACAATACAATTTATTAACACTAACCATACAAACATAAACGCAGTGCAATACTAAAACATAATACAGTGCAAACAAACCAAACCAACCACCCACAGATAACAGTACATACAAGCAAGCGTCGTCAGGCAGGCCGGGTCAATATCAATAGGGCAGGTAGGTACAGGGGGAGCAAGCGGAGATGGGTCGGGTCACAGGCCAGGTTCAGCAGGTAGCTAGCAGCGTAGTACAGAGGGTCAGGCAGAGGGATGGTCAGGGTCACAAGCCAGGGATCAGAACAGGTAGCAAGCAGCGTGGTACAGAGGGTCAGGCAGAGGGATGGTCAGGAGCGAGCCGGGATCAGAGCAGGAGAAGTCAGCAGCGGTTCAGATCAGGCAGGGTCAGCAAAGGAACAGAAACAGGATGCAGGACAGATACAGGGCCCAGGACAAACACAACACCAAGGCAGAGTCTGCAAGTCTGGCCATCCCTTAAATACACCAGTATCATCAGTTCCAGGTGTTAGCTGGCTGAAAGGTTGAGTCTCTGATTGCTGGGAGCACCCGCTGGCCAGCCCTGGTACTGCAGATCAAAAGGCAGGTGAGTCCCACCATTGCTGGCCAGTCCATTCCTGACAGTACCCCCCCCCCCTCAAGGAGCGGCCTCAGGACGCTCCAAACAGTCCTAGCTGGGCAAAATGTTCCACCGCCCGGGTCTGGTAACTGGCGGGATATCAAAGACTGGCACACCGGGCAGGACTCCGGGCAGCGGCACACCGGGCTGGACTCCGGGCAGAGGCACCGGGCTGGACTCCGGGCAGAGGCACATCGGGCTGGACTCCGGGCAGAGGCACATCGGGCTGGACTCCGGGCAGAGGCACATCGGGCAGAGGCACACCGGGCAGAGGCACAGAGGCACATCGGGGCACATCGGGACTCCGGGCAGAGGCACATCGGGCAGGACTCCGGGCAGAGGCACATCGGGCAGGACTCCGGGCAGAGGCACATCGGGCAGGACTCCGGGCAGAGGCACATCGGGCAGGACTCCGGGCAGAGGCACATCGGATTACCAGGCGGCAGCAGCAGGCACGGGCGGACCCCCGGGCGGAGCAGCAGGCACCGGGCCCCGGGCCCCGGGCGGAGCAGCGGCACCGGGCCCCCGGGCGGGGCAGCAGGCAGGCACCGGGCCCCCGGGCGGGGCGACAGGCATCGGGCCCCCGGGCGGGGCGACAGGCATCGGGCCCCGGGCGGGGCGACAGGCATCGGGCCCCCGGGCGGGCGACAGGGCACCGGCATCGGGCCCCCGGGCGGGGCGACAGGCATCGGGCCCCAGGGGGGGCGACAGGCATCGGGCCCCCGGGGGCGACAGGCATCGGGCCCCCTGGGCGGGGCGACAGGCATCGGGCCCCCCAGGCGGGCGGGGCCCGGGGCGACCGGGCCCCCGGGCGGGGCGACAGGCGGGCCCCCAGGAGCCCCCGGGCGGGGCGGGGCGACAGGCATCGGGCCCCCAGGGGCGGGGCGACCGGCATCGGGCCCCCGGGCGGGCATCGGGCCCCCGAGGCGGGCGAGCGGCATCGGGACCCCCAGGCGGGGCGACAGGCGGGCCCCAGGCAGGCGGGCGGCCCCCCCGGGCGGGGCGACGGGCACCGGGCCCCCAGGCGGGGCGACGGGCACCGGGCCCCCAGGCGGGGGCGACGGGCATCGGGCCCCCAGGCGGGGCGACGGGCATCGGGCCCCCAGGCGGGGCGACAGGTCTCGGACCCCCAGGCGAAGCGGGGCGGGACCCCCAGGCGGAGCGACAGGTCAGGGCCCACAGGCGGAGCGGCAGGGCCGGGCCCCCACCGAGTCACCAGGCACGGGACAGCGGCGGGGCCGGACCTCCGAGTCAACTGGCATGACCGCTGGCACTGGGTCAGACATTGGATCGTCTGGGCTGGTCTGGCTGGAGCGGGCATCGGGTCACCAGGCATCAGGTCACTTGGCTCGACAGCGGGCACCGCGTCATCTGGCAAGGCAGTGGGCTCCGAGTCAACTGGTATGACCGCGGGCACTGGGTCAGACATTGGATCGTCTGACTGGACAGCGGGCATCGGCACCAGGCATCAAGTCATTTGGCTCGACAGCGAGCACCGCGTCATCTGGCAAGGCAGTGGGCTCCGAGTCAACTGGCATGACCGCGGGCACTGGGGCATCAGACATTGAATCGTCTGGCCGGACAGCGGGCATCGGGTCACCAGGCATCAGGTCATTTGGCTCGACAGCGGGCACCGCGTCATCTGGCAAGGCAGTGGGCTCCGAGTCAACAGGCACGACAGTGGGGGCACCGGGTCATCAGGTACCGGATTGTCTGGCTCGACAGCGGGCATCGGGTCACCAGGTATGACAGCGGGGCACTGGGTCACCAGGCATCAGGTCATTTGGCTCGACAGCGGGCACCGCGTCATCTGGCAAGGCAGTGGGCTCCGAGTCAACAGGCACGACAGTGGGCACCGGGTCACCAGGCATTGGATCGTCTGGCTCGACAGCGGGCATCGGGTCACCAGGTATGACAGCGGGCCCTGGGTCACCAGGCATCAGGTCATTTGGCTCGCCAGCGGGCACCGCGTCATCTGGCAAGGCAGTGGGCACCGAGTCACCAGGTACGACAGCGGGCTCTGAGTCAATTGGCACGATAGCGGGCACCGGATCAGGTACCGGATCATCTGGATCAACAGCGGGCATCGAGTCAACTGGCCTAATAGGATCGTCAGGCTGGATCAGTTCATCATGCTGGGTAGAGGCATCAGGCTGAATGAGGCTTTCTGAGTAGAGGCTTCAGGCTGAGTAGAGGCTTCAGGCTGAGTAGAGGCTTCAGGCCGAGTAGAGGCTCAGGCCGAGTAGAGGCTTCAGGCCGAGTAGAGGCTCAGGCGAGTAGAGGCATCAGGCGAGTAGAGGTCAGAGGCTCATCAGGCCGAGTAGAGGCATCAGGCCGAGTAGAGGCTTCAGGCTGAGTACAGGCATCAGGCTTCAGGGCTGAGCTTCAGGCTGAGGCTTCAGGCTGAACCACGGAAGGCAGGTTCACCGGTTTGGATACTGGCAGGATGGTATTGGTTGGAAAGAATTTTCGCTTTTTTCTGGTTTTAACTACTGGAGCACTGCAAGTAAACGCAGGTCTGCAAACGAATGGAGCAGCTGGAGACAGAGAAGAAACTGGAGGATGGAACAGGAGAGGGAGCAGTTGCTACAGAGGGCTTTTTTACAGGGTTAAAGGCAGGATAGGTGCAGCGAGTGGGAACAGGGTACTGACATGCGGTAGATAGCCAAGTATACTGGGCTGTAACTGGGGGAGTTGTTGGGAATACAGGAGTAGAGCTTTGAGGAAATAGATTAGAAGCAGGACTGGGTCTTTGTAAGCTGACTGAGGCTGGGTGCAACAAGTCTGTCCATGTCTGCAGTATGGGTTGAACAAAGCTGAGCTTACACAAAGCCTGTCTGACCAAAGACTGCACTGCGTTTATACAATCTCTTAGTACCTGTGGTGAACATGTGGAATAACGCTCCAGAAAGTAACCCACATCATCCTCTAATAACCACACCAGGGACTCTACCTGGTCTGCACTAAATGGTGGCAAAAATTCATCCCTGCATTCGGGGGAACCAGATGAAACCAACTCAACACAAACCTTAATCAATGGCTGCACCATAGAGAAATCTGTGCCCTGATCTACTAGAACATGAGCGAGCCGTATACATTCTAGCAGTTCATCCCGGGGATACTCCTTCAGAGTCTGATAAGCATATTTTCTGTCATCAAGCACTAGCAGAGATAAATACTCAACCTCATCCAGATCCATCCTTCCCAGCAACAAGCCAAGATGGCTTCCCTGTGCAGCCACTTCTGGTCAGGATTGGCCTTGGTGTAATGTCAGGGCTCCCAGGTGTGACCAGAGGTGTGTGACTGACGCAGGGAAACGCAGACTTCAGATATGTGATAAACAATATAATTTATTAACACTAACCATACAAACATAAACGCAGTGCAATACTAAAACATAATACAGTGCAAACAAACCAAACCAACCACCCACAGATAACAGTACATACAAGCAAGCGTCGTCAGGCAGGCCGGGTCAATATCAATAGGGCAGGTAGGTACAGGGGGAGCAAGCGGAGATGGGTCGGGGTCACAGGCCAGGTTCAGCAGGTAGCTAGCAGCGTAGTACAGAGGGTCAGGCAGAGGGATGGTCAGGGTCACAAGCCAGGGATCAGAACAGGTAGCAAGCAGCGTGGTACAGAGGGTCAGGCAGAGGGATGGTCAGGAGCGAGCCGGGATCAGAGCAGGAGAAGTCAGCAGCGGATCAGATCAGACAGGGTCAGCAAAGGAACAGAAACAGGATGCAGGACAGAGACAGGGCCCAGGACAAACACAACACCAAGGCAGAGTCTGCAAGTCTGGCCATCCCTTAAATACACCAGTATCATCAGTTCCAGGTGTTAGGCAAAGTTCAAACGATGATTTTTGTGGTGAGGACGTAGAAGAGGTTTTTCTTCTGATGACTCTTCCATGAAGACCATATTTGTACAAGTATCGCTTTATAGTGGAATAGTGTACCACAACATCAGTGTCTGCCAGATCTTTCTGGAGGGATCGTGCAGTCAAACGTGGGTTTTGAATTGTTTTTCTCACAATCCTGCGAGCTGTTCTGTCTGATATTTTTCTTGGTCTTCCAGATCTTGCTTTAACTTCCACTGTTCCTGATGACTGCCATTTCTTAATTACATTCCGAACAGAGGATATTGACATCTGAAAACGCTTAGCTATCTTCTTATAGCCTTCTCCAGCTTTGTGAGCGTCAACTATTTAAAGTTTCAGTTTTCTAGACAACTGCTTAGAAGAACCCATGGTGCTGATTGTTGGGGCAAGGTTCAGATGAGTCTGGGCATTTAAAACCTTTGAGATTGACATCACCTGGTCTTCCCAGACGATGATTGAGAACAATCCATGACACTGGCAGGTCTCAGCTTGGCAAAGGGGGCAGTGCATGCTATAAATTCTGCAGGGTGCCCAAACTTTTGCAGACGCCATTTTTTTGTTTTCTGTTATTTTGAAAGTGTAAATGATGGAAATAAAATCTAACTTTTGTTGACATATAAGAATGTCTAATCTGTAATTTGATGCCTTTTGGAGATTTTTCCATCTTTCCTTGGCTTCTTTATGCACATTAATACAAATTTTTAGCTGGGGTGCCCAAACTTTCGATCCCCACTGTATGTATAACCTTTATCCAAAAAGGAAGCAAATGTTGCTGTAATTGCCTCAAATGTTTTAACTGGAGTGCAGTTTTAATTTGTTAGTCAAGTCCATTTAAGTTTGCTAGTGCATCTTACACTACACTTAACTGATAATGCTGCTGTACAAAGGTGTCTCAGTTGCTCCGCTCTAGAGTAGAGTCACCCAAGACAGGAAGTGTGTTACTGGCAAGATCACAGGTAGCAAGAAAGTTAAAAAAAAAAAAAAACCTACGGCAGCCACCACATTTAAAGTGCTAATAAACACTGCTTGGACACTTGTACCTACAGGTAAGCTTATAATAAAGCTTGCCTGTATGTACAATGAATTTCTCCAAAACGTGCCCACGTAAAGGAGACATTCACTGTTTCTCCAGCCGATAATGTCACCAGCTCATGCACTCTGAAGTGACAGCATACTCATGCCATCCCTTCAGAGTTCTGTGCCGCGGCCATGACTACCACGCATATGCACTTGAGTGACGACATCGTGGCTCAGCCATTCAATTGACCTGAGCCCGCAAACTCAGAATAAAGACCTGCAAACGTTATAGCTTGTTTTGTCTAGGGCAGTGTTTCTCAACCTTTTTTCAGTCAAGGCACCCTTTAAAATTATGAACAGTCCTGAGGCACCCTTTAAAATTATGGACAGTCTTGAGGCACCCCATTCTAAAATGGGATGCCTCTAGACTGTCCATAATTTTAAAAGGGCACCCCATTCTAAAATGTGAAAAACTATTCTATTATTTTTATATCACAAAGCAACACCCACACATGTAGGACACCCAACATTAGAGGTGATGTATTCTTCCAAAGCAGATACACTTTTGCACACTGGTGCTGAGTAGTATTCCGGTGTTTCTCTTCTTCCTCAGTTTTTCTCCATTACTGAGCTTATGTGACCCCAGCACTGTATACAAGCCAGCGGGTGAGGGTGGGCATGGGTGGGTATGGAGAGGGGCAGGAGAGGGTCAAACTAGTATGCTGTGCAGGCAGCTGACATCCTCCTTATCAACTGAAGATGTCATTGGTTGTCAGGACGCCGGCAGCTAGAAGGTCGTAATGGTGCACAATGAAAACCTGTGGCTTTGTATAACTAAAAGGCAGGCTTGTTCCACCCGCTGGCTTGTATAGAAGTTTTGGGAAATTTTTAGACATTTTGCCAAGGCACTCCTAAAGAAACCTCAAGGCACCCCAGGGTCACCCCAGAGAAAGGCTGGTCTAGGGGAGAAGAGAAACAGTTTTGCTTACTTGATCCTCTGCTCCTCCGGCAGACAGCACTCTCCACGTTTCAGCCATTATTATTTATTATTATACAGAATTTATATAGCACCAACATTTTATGCAGCGCTTCCTCACATCCAGAGCAGCACTGGACGCTGCTCTGGTCTTGATGACGTCATAACCCTAGACTGCTAGAGTACAGGGGTGCAGAAGCTGCAGGAACCAGTCTAGCTGCAAATAGGAGTGGAGGATCGGGTAAGTATAGCTCCTTTCATAGTTACCCCAGACAAAAATGAGCAGTTAACCTTTGCAGTGCAGGTACAGCCTCTCTGCAAGGCAGACATTTTTATTTGCCTGGAGTTGAGCTTTAAGGATTGGTAAATTGTGATATATTAAACTTTTGTTTTGGGTTTATTACCAGTTTAAACATGCAGGTATACACAAATCCATCTGAACTATTTTAAAAATGTGCTTCTTCCATCAACATCCCAAAAAACACTTCAATAAAATGATGTCAGAAGATGTCGAAATGATTGTCAAACTACAAAAGCCTGCGTACAAAAGGCCAAACAAAAATATTCATGTCAACAAGTCCTAAAAGACATCTGTATTTAAGTCCACCTGCACAATCATTGGTATGCTGAAATGTTTTCAATGGACCAAGACGTTTGTTAAGTTAAAACTCCACATTCCTTCAAATATTTATAGAATGCTGAGTACACCAAATATTGGTCAAGATGTGACCCTGGCAACTTAAGGACACGTATATATAAGGCAGTTCAATATTCTGATTCTTTACAGAGTAAATAGACAACTGTATACGTATTGTAGCAGTGACTGAACTAAGGTCTCCAGACTATTTCTGTAGCCATCCCCCATCCCACAGCAAAACTATTTCTGTATTTTGAAGTGAAATCTTACAGCTAGACTGTAAAAATAAAAACTTACCAAATGTAAGCAGGCACTGAACGCACTGCGATGGGTGTTGTCACTGAAAAAGCATAAGTCTGAGATAGTAGAGCAACTCCCTTCTGTCTAATTATACAGAAAACATTTTCACACAACACCCAAACACAGCTTAAGTGGCATATCAAGTTCTTTTTAAAATATGAATTTACTGTGGATCACAGGGCAATATGCATTTAACAGCACACAAAATGAGATATTTAAAGTGCCCCATAATGTTTTTTATGCTATCCTATCTAATGGTACCTGTGCATAGAGGCTGTTCTAAGCTCTTTATTCCTTCCTCACTCATATCACATCTCTAGTAATCCCTGCAAAAACTGCATAAAAATCTACCTTGCTTTCAAAAGTCTGGCGACCATGAAGTTTGCCCTATAGAGCTGTGACATGTAGCAATAAAAAAAACAACAGCCTGTATGCACAGATAGTGTAAGATGGCAGCAGATATACAGCAGTGGTCTC